ACATTGAGATTGTTCATCCAGGACCAAAATGACCAAAACCCTCAAATTCTGTATCCCTCTCCAGGAGCAGAGGGCTCAGCCTCCTTTGAGATGGTGCCTCGCTCGGCAGAGATGGGGTACCTGGTTACAAAGGTGGTGGCTGTGGACTCTGACTCTGGGCACAATGCCTGGCTGTCTTATCATCTACTGCAAGCTACTGAGCCAGGACTCTTCACAATTGGTGCCCACACAGGTGAAATCAGGACACTGCGGACGTTTCTGGAAAGGGATGCTCTGAAACAGAAGCTAGTGGTCTTGGTGAAGGATAATGGGCAACCCCCGCTCTCTGCTACAGTCAGTCTCAATCTGATCTTTGCTGAAAACTTCCAAGAGGCACTGCCAGAAATAAATAACCAAACCATGGATTCAGAGCAACAGTCTGAGCTCCAGTTCTATCTAGTGCTGGCCTTAACTTTGATCTCCTTTCTGTTCCTCTTGACTGTAACTCTAGTTATTATGATGAAACTCCGACAGTCGGGGAATCTGACATTTCTTCCATGCTTTGCTCCCATTCCCCATTCAAGCAATGCCATTATATTCCCACCCAATTATGAGGAAGGGACTATTCCTTATTCCTATCAGCTCTGTTTATCATCTGAGTCCAAGATACATGAAATTACTTTTCCAGCACCCAAAGTTCAACCTACAGAATATATTTCAAGCAACCAAAAGTCTGATGAGCTTTTGGCCAGCAATGGATTTAATATCCTAAATTCTGAGATGGATAAATCTAGTTTGGTGAGTTTTCTTCTCTTCCTTTTTCTTTTTTACCAGTACTACCTTTACAGTCATAACCGTCCTTTAAAATATATTATGGTATATTGCTTTATATACACATTTTACTTTATATTACTATCTCTTTCACCTGTTGTTTCTTATAGCTTTATTGCACAGAAAAACCTCTACCGTTTCATTGGTTTCTAATGTATCTTTTATAAATTGGAATTATTTCAGGATCAGATTTTGGAGTAAGTGTAGTTTCCTTCTAATTGAAAATATATTATTTACTTGTGTGTGAGAGAGAGACAGTTTGCACACATGAATGCATATATGTTGGGTTGTGTATTAAAATAAGAGAGTTGTGGAAAGTGAGAGCTACTCAGACTACCAGTGCTTTGACACATTTTTTCATAGATCTCTTAATTTAATGAAATAAATGGAAAGGGACCCAATATTGTGAGTTCAAATAACATGTTGAATGCCTTGAATGAAAAAGTAAAATAACAAGCAAAAATAACATACAAGTATGAATAACAATTGATGGATTTCTTATGCTTCTCCAGTAGCAGTTTTCAATTCTATTGGAAACTTGGGTTGAGATGTAACAGCTTATCTAAAACCACTTGTGGTATATGAATTAATGTGATGTGAATAAGCCTAATTTATGAAGTAATCCAATTTAATTTATGAAGTAATCCAAATGTAAAAATATTGTTATAATTGTAAAAGCAAATTAGAGTTTACCAGATACCTCTTTTTTTCAAAGAAAGAAATGATAATACAAAACAACTTAGAACTTTTTAAATAGATTTCTTTCCTTCCTTTCTGATGTCACTTTTTAATATAAAGTTGTCAAGGCAGCTTGCAATTTAGAAGCCTAAATATTAATTTCATTTAAATAATAAAATAACCAATCCCACTTCACTACATTTCCTTATATACCAGTAATACTGAATTTGGATATGCAAATTATGAGTAAGTACAGGCTAAGGATTACAATTTTTGGGTGGCTTACACTGTTCGCTATGGCATTTGATATACAGACCAACAGAGGGTTTAGGCCATACTAATTAATCATGCTAGTCACTTACAAAAATATTGGGTATATCTTGATTATATATATATATGTGTGTGGAATGAAAGAAGCCTGCAAAAGGCCTAGGATAGACTAAGAGTAACTTGGTTGTTTTTGCAAGATTTTTACTATTTGCTCAAATTTTTATACTTGTTAAAATCTCTAAACTGCATTCCAAAACATATCAAAGAAACAAAAATGTGATAAGGAAGAAATAAAACCGAGGAAATGCAACTTTTTACAACTTTTGATTGAAGGACCGGCAACCAATTGCTATGCAGTTGGACCAGGAACCGTGTAGGTATAGCTCGGAAATCGAAAAGAAATGGGCTACTTCTCTGAAAACATCATTACTGATTAAGTTGTGCATAACTGTTCTGCTCTTACTTTATTTCTTTAATATTCTTCATAAATCTGCTGTTTCAATCCTGCACTGAATTTTAGAATGTAAATTTCTCAGGTGTAGAATTATTATTATTATTTTGGTTCTTGCACTAAAGTAACTGGTTCAATCCAAACATTCTGAACATAAATTCGTGAAATACTCAGACAACATGGCGAGCAACTGTATTTTAAACCATTCTGTACATCAATACGGCTGAATTTTTGGTTTGGACATCAGGTTTGGTTTAGTTTTTAAGTGTAACAAAACTGCAAAACTTTCATATTTCATGTTTTTCACACAGTATTTTATTGCTTTGGATTCTATGCATTTCTGAGCCTAGCTGTTGTTCCAATGGGATCTCCTATCTCCAAATGCTCTGAACCAAAAGAATATCTTTTCAAAATTGAGGCAACCTGCTTTTATACTAATACTGGATAATATACCAACCAGTTTAAAATTACAATCAAAGGCCAGCATCTGAGTTACTGAATTAGCCTCCTAACTAGGGTTCATATTTTAAGTCTTCAGCATTAAAACAACAACGTTACTATATTAAATTTAAGGATCTCAAACAACAGAGATAAGAATATCAGATTTAGATTATCTTCTCTCCTTAATAAACCATACCAGAGCAAAATTAATTCTGATGATTCAGGAATTCTAATTATTTTTATAAAAAATTCCAGTTCATTAAAAAAACCCGAAAATATATTCAACACATCATCTTCCTATTATCTCCACAACAACCAGAGAACAAAAAATAAACACCAGAATACCTACTCGTCCAAAATCTGTTGCTTAACATAGCATTTATTTTGAAATAAAACGAATCACATGCAAGTACTTTTGAATATATCTCTTGCACTTTCCCCTTTGGCCTCATGGTGTTGCTGTTAGCCAACGGGGATGCCGAAGAGAATGGAGAAGAGCTGCTTGTTATACAGATGCTTCCCAAAGGAGGATTCCGGCATTTCGTTAAAAGACAGGAGTTAAAAAGACAAAGCAGTCTTGCGAAACGGGAAGGTCCCAGACACTAAGAAGAAACGAGAGTGTTTTCTATTCTGCATTCCGCTGAGATTTTGAGGCAGTCACTTTAACGCCGAGGAGATGGATCGAGGGCAAGGAGGGAATGGCAGAGCAATCCGAAGGCAAGTACTATCGCTCTTAGTCTTGTCGCTTTCCTACCGGGCCGTCTCCGAACAGATTCATTATTCGATCCCCGAGGAGATGTCAAAAGGTTCTATAGTGGGGAATCTTGCAAAGGATCTAGGACTGAGTCTCAAAGGACTGGCAAGTCGCAAAATGCATGTCATCTCTGCGGACAAGGTGCAGTATTTCACAATCAGTGCAGGAAATGGAAACCTCTGTGTGAATGACAGGATAGATAGGGAAGAAATATGTGGCCAAATCCCACTGTGTGTTCTTAATATTGAATTAGTTATTGAAAATCCGTTAAATATTTACCATCTAAAAATAGAGATACAAGACATTAATGATAATTCTCCACAGTTTCTCAGTAGCATAATCCAGTTGGAGATAATTGTGAAATACTGCACCTTGTCCACAGAGATGACATGCATTTTGCGACTTGCCAGTCCTTTGAGACCCAGTCCTAGATCCTTTGCAAGATTCCCCACTATAGAACCTTTTGACATCTCCTCGGGGATCGAATA